GTGGGCCAGTTCAGGCTGAACTGGTAGATTTTAGGAATGGGGGTGGGGTTGGACTCACTTATAAGTGATAATAAAAAGCAGCTGATTGAGCAGCGAGCTGACATGTTAAGCCTCCGAGCTGCTTCTGTCCTTTGCAGCTCTCGAACCTGCACACACATGCTCGCACACATTCAGACTTTCTTTTATTTTTTCTTCTCGCCTGCCTCACGTTCCACCTTATCCTTCACTTTTGTTAAGAAGGCGGAAAAAAGCAGCGCAGCCACTTTTAAAAATCTGTGCTGCAAATTCAGCATCTGCTAAATGTTTGGTTGCCGGTCCGTCATCCGTCCGTCCTTGTGTGTCTGTCATAGCGAGGATTGTAAATTCATGTATTCAGCAGGATTTTTTAACATTTTTTTTTTGTCGGTAGGGCAGCATCGGTGGGAGCCCGAACAGCTGCGAGTTTAGTGCTGTCACAGCAGCACAAGTTATCGTGTGGATGCAGAAACCTGGCAGCTTAATAAAAAGAGAGAGACGATGCATCTGGATCGTGACCTGAGCAGCGCCGTCGCTCCTGATGTCCTTAAACGAGCCAGTCATGTGGAACTGAGCAGCAAAAAGACAATGAAAAGGTGGAAGCAGACCAGGGATGTTAGTGATTAATGGTTAATCTATTAATAATTTAATTGTTCAAGCCGATAAGGCATGTGGATTAGCTGTAGTACCCGATTGCGCCACCAGGTGGAGACTCTTGCTGCAGTTTAATTAGGTGGAAGATTGCAGTGTCTTTGTATTTGCACTGTAACGACCCTAGGTGGCGATCACTAGAGACAGTTTTGTGTTCTGGCAAGCAGAGAGCATTGTTGGGGTTTAGCTAGCAATGGGCACCACGACAAAAACTTCTGTGACAGTTAATGGCATCCAATGAGAACTCGCCTATTAACTTTTGGCTAATTTACTTTAGGTTCTGGTTGAGTTTAGGCCCCAAAACTACGTGGTTAGGTTTAGGAAAATATCACATTGAGCTAGCGACCATGACAAAGACTTCTGCGACAGTTAATGGCGACCCATGTACTCATGTATTGAAGGCAGATTGTAGGCTTCTCCAAAAGTGCTGCTACAACATAGAGGTACATGCAATCAAGCTACATCAATGCAACCCTGTCTCCACAAATTGACATTCTTATACAACAAAATTTACATCAAACTTTGCTTTAAATTGACATAATTTGCAACTTGTGGTGTCAAATTGAATGTGGTGAGTTTAAAACGGTCCCAGAGTCCACATAAGGAGGCAGA